CCTGAAATTTCGTTTCATAAACCCGAAGAAAAAAGTGCGTTTAATGAAATCGAAGAAAAAAATTCCGACCTTGAAATTTCGTATGAAGCAGTCGAAGAAAAAAGTGCATTTGATGAAATAAGAAAAGAAAATTCTGACATTGAAATTTTGTTTGATGCAATAACAGAAAAAAGTGCGTTTAATGAAATCAAAGAAAAAAGTTCTGACCCTGAAATTACGTTTCACGAAGCCAGAGAAAGTGCGTTTAATGAAGTCGAAAAAGAAAATGCATCCCATGAAGTTCAAGAAGATAATTATTTCCGAAATAAAAAAAGAAAATATTATCAGCTAGAAAATAAAATGGATAAAAATTACATTCCCATAATTAAAGGGGCAAAATGTGCTCGCAAGCATCCCGATTGGAGTATTACAACTCTTCAACCACTTGAATGCACTAAATTAAGATCCAGTAATCAACAGAGGATGTGGGAAGAATATATAAATTCGGGTAGAGCGGTATATTATAAATATTCTTTCATCGATTCACGAACATTGGATTGCCTTAAGGAAGCTCGAAAAAATAATCGTCCGGTAAGTAATTTTTAATGTTAAAAACTGTGCATCGATTATATTGCCGAGCCGTGCTGCTCGACTTTTCATTCAAGTCGTTTGACGTTTTGACGCATTAAATAAATATGTAAGCGTATACCATCGATGGTACACGTGACACGGAACGTGTCAAGAAGTAAATAAAAGTAAGAAATAAAATTCGATAATATACATATGGGTATGTTAAGGATAATATTGGTTTGGTAACTAAGTGAGTGCGGATTTTATGCACGATTTACTCGACAAAATCCGCGATCACTTACAAGGAGACGGTCAGTGGGCAACACCTCAGATTTTTTCCAAATTTTGCACACTTGTAGTACTCCATGAGAATATTCATTGTGCCTTTAAACATGGCGTATATAAATATTCAACCGTTTGCGAAAAAACGCGGATTGAAATTTTACATGGATACGTGTTCCTTTGGCTGAGAAGAGTAGAGTAACTACAATAGTGGTGCTGTGTGTGGTCTGTGATGTTGCCGATAGCAATATCTTATCTCGACAGGGTTAA